CACATAAAAGGAAAGTGTGGGGGGGAGAGGGCACTCTTCTTTTTGGTTTTTCCCAATAAAATTTTTCAGCATAGTGAGACCGAATTGGTCAGTCAATTCTCGGTCCCAGCGTCCACTTTGTAATTTTGTATTTGTATTTGTGTACGAGCGAAGGATATTCACAGGGAACATATATTGTATTTCGAGCGCAACAGTCTATATGAATTTGTAGTGAAAGTGTTCATTCGTAATTCCGTTGAAGACTCCGCAATATCGCTTTTTTTGTAGAAGTAAAGAAAACGCACGTACAACGGGCATGTTTGGTACGTAAAAATTTCACCTGAATATAATGTAACATACAACAGAATAAATTCCGTTTTCATTGTCGGTGTTATTGTAGGCTATTCTTATGAGTTTTTGGAGGGAACATATTGAAGACCAGTTTAATGATACTAGAAAAACAATTTTGATGTGCAAAGGAGGTCGATACAATGTTCCAATAATCCAAGCGCATGGGAAGGCGTCGATGGAACATGGTGATTCGCGTGAATTTATGGATCGAAGTGGAATCGTCGAGGGTGTGACGTGCGTTTTCACCTTACTTAGATATGAATGTGTTCTTCTCAAGGTTAGAATTTTGGATGCTGGAGCATAATCATGGAAAAATAGTTCACATGGAAATGACTTTTGTTTGTTTTATTTCATATTAATGAGTTGGAAATCAAATTTAGAGGTGGTAATATCTGAAGATTTTGGAAATGACTTGTGTTTGTTGTATTTCCTATTCACGAGTTGGAAATCTAAATTAGAGGTGTAATATCTGAAAATTTGGTGTGGAAAATACTTTTGGTTGTTGTATTTTCTATTACCGAGGTCCAAATAAATTTAGAGGTAATATCTGAAAATTACAAGTTTGTAGAAAGTAGTCGTTTTCCAATACAAATTACAAATGAAATTTAGAGCTGTAAAAATATGTGAAAATTATTTCATGATGAGTGGGAAATAAGTTTAGGCCCTCTCATGCAATGTCCTTTTGGTTGTGAATGAAGAAAATATAAAAAAAATAAGAAAATTAATATAAACACGTATGATATGCATGAAAAGTAGGAAAAGTTATGATCTCCATTTGCTTTCATCAATATAAACAAAATAAGTTCACATGCGAAAATATCGAGAATCTAGCCGGTTTTGATGGCCCACAAGGAAAAGGAAAAGGAAAAAAACAAAAAACTCTGCAACCTGTCATTCTTGCCGGGAATCTGAAAACGTACAACCCCAAAGTTGGGTCTAGTATTGTTCTAAAATAAATCTATTTTAACATATTTATTATAACAACATTTTATTAAAAATAAATTTATTATAATCACTGGATTTCATAACATATAGTAAAAATAAATTTACTATTCAACAAAGAAAATTTATCTCACAATTAGTTCATTATATAACAAATAAAATAGGAAAAAAATTATTTTTTTTATTGATGTGCACTTATTTTCTCTTTCATCATTGAATGTAATATGTTATATGTAATTGTCAACTTCAGTAAGTTGAATTTATGTTATACATGTTGGAATTTTGAATACATTACATTACAACATGAATTTTTCAGTAGAAAAATAATATTATATAACATGATTTTTTTTTTTTTTCGGAACGATAGAAATTC